GCCCCTGCCACCACCACCACCACCACCACCGCCATCACCTCACCAATCAGCAGTCACACGGCATGTAGCTACTCACGATAACGCCACCTAACGTGTGCCTTGTGTAAGCAAGCGCATGGATGCGCTGTAGCCTCTTCTTGACAGTTTTACCTGAACCCCCCCCCCCCCTGGCCTGCATAACCGACCACCTACCCCCACCATGTCTTTCCAATAAAATCGCTCAAACTCGGTCCAGGCAAGGTGTATGGTCAACCCAAGGGGTGCAATGGACAGGGCACACGCAGGGCTGCAAATCATGGTTTGACACCCATACAACGCCAAGATCGCCTCAGCAGATCTTGAAACAGCCATTTCTGCCTAAGATACTTTTGAAATTGGAACAACCCCGTGGTGGTGTTGGTGATGATGATGAGGTTGACAGCCGTGGTGCTGGCTGCTGTGCTGGCTGTTGTTGTCGATGCTAGCGCAGCAGCAGCATCAGCAGCCGCAGCAGCTGCTGATGCATCAGATGCAGTGGCCTGCAAGGCTGGGGATCTGCAAGAGAAGACGTGCACGCATTCGCCAGAGGCGCGCATCGCAAGCAAGGACGGCTTGGCAGATGCATCCGCCTGCTGCTCCCTTTGTGCGTCCACACACGGATGCCACGCCTGGACGTTCTGGACAACCTCATCCGCAACCATGGCCACCAGCAGCGGTATCGCCAGCAACAACAGAAGCAACAACAGCAGCAGCAGCAGCACTGACGATGTGAACGACACCCACAGCGCCGATGATGACGACACTTCGACGAGGACAACAGGCGATGCAGAGGCAGCACGACCAACATCGTCAACGCCATCACGTTCCCAAGCTGCCATCGTGGAAGAGAAGGAGACGCACTGTAATCTGTTTGGGAAGCGGGTACCGGGAACGGAGGGCGAGTGCGTGTCTGGCGGAACAACCGGTGGGAAGAGCCCCTGGGTACCACCACCGCCACACGGGCCCATCTGCAAGGACTGCCCCAACATCATCTTCTCCCTGACGGATGACCAGGACTACCTGCTTGGCGGGTGGGGCGACGTGCCCATGCGCCACACCAAGCGGCTGCTGCAGAACACGGGCGCGCTGCTGTCGGAGTGGCGCATCCACACAGCCATCTGCTCGCCCAGCCGGTCCGAAACCGTCTCTGGCCGCTATTTCCACAACATCAAGTCGGCAACGGCGGTGCCGCCGCCAAAGGTGCTGCCCACGGGCGCGGGCCACGTGAACGGCTCGCTGTACACGAACCAGACGGCCGGCACATATCTGCGCATGCTGCGCGGGTTTCAGACTGCGCTATTTGGCAAGGGCAACTTCAATACCATGGAGGGGTTCGACCGGTGGTTCCAAGGGTCCCATCTTGGATACGGCGGTACGTGGCAGGACAACGAGAGCCCCGACTTCAAGTACAAGGCGAGCGACAAGGAGTACGCGACAGACCTGCTGCTTGAGAAGGCGAGTGAGTGGCTGCGACGTGACAATGTGACGGGGAAAGCGAGCAATGGTCGCCCTTTCTTCCTCTACTTTGCCCCGCACTGCCCCCACATCCCGTCGACGCCCTCTGACAAGTACGCAGACGCGTGTCCGAACGTCACTGCGCCGCGCACGCCCAACTTCAACTACTCCACACCGCTCTTCCACGAGCTCATCTCCAAACAGGCCCCCTTTGTTGAGGAGGAAGCACGCGCCATCGATGCGCTTGCGCGCCTGCGGTGCCAGTGCCTTCTCTCTGTGGATGATGCGCATGCACAGCTCTTGTCTGTGTTGGAGGACCTTGGTGTGGCCAACAACACGTACTGGTTCGTGTCGAGCGACCACGGGTACAACCTCGGCAACCACCGCCTGCCCAGCAACAAGTTCCTGCTGTACGAGCACTCGCTGCGCATCCCGCTTGTTGTGCATGGGCCGGGCGTGCCTGCAGGCAAGCACATCCCCGTGCTTGGTACCAACGTAGACTATGCGCCAACGTGGCTTGGCCTCGCTGACATTGACACGCCCCCTGTCATGGACGGTCGTTCCCTTGTTCCCGTCCTCCTCACCAACGCCTCCGCAGGTAGGGCAGAGGCGTGTGTTGGGTATGCCTGTGTGTGTGTGTGTGTGTGTGTGTGTGTGTGTGTGTGTGTGTGTGTGTGTGTGTGTGTGTGTGTGTGTGTGTGTGTGTGTGTGTGTGTTTTGTGTGTGTGTGTGTGTGTGTGTGTGTGTGTGTGTGTGTGTGTGTGTGTGTGTGTGTGTGTGTGTGTGTGTGTGTGTGTGTGTGTGTGTGAAGACGTGAGGTTTTGAGAGCAATGATCTGCGTTCACACACTTTTTCATCCCCCCCCCCCAATCACCATGTCACGCGCACACATGCCTTGCGCGCCGTTGCAGACATCCCGGGTGCAACGCGGCGGCACTTGGAGAAACACGGTGGGCCATCTGCGAGCGACCCAGCTGCATTTAGAAACATGCAGTTTACGCAATACTACAACCAAGGCCCCTGGCAGCCTGACGACCCCAAGGATGGTTTCAACCGCACCCTTGACGACTACAGCAACACATACATCGGCATCACGGTGGTTGACCCAGCGCTCGGCAAGTACAAGTATGGCGAGTACCAGTACGTGTGCAACAGCACACAGATGCTGACGAAGACATGCTTTGACGACCCAGACTGGTACGAATTGTTTGACCTCAGTGCGGATCCATATGAGTTGACCAACATCTACTACCACGCCAACACCAACGCATCTCTCAAGCAAGAGATGCACCGCCGCCTGCGACAATACTACCCGTGCCAGGGCAGCGCCTGCCCGTGATGACACTGTGTGTATGCGTGTATGTGTGTGTGTGTGTGTTTGTGTGTGTTTGTGTGTTCCTATGTGACTGCCGTTTCGCTCTTCTCTATTTTTCACCACGCCTTCACAGTCACAATCTCTTGTTATCCTTTGTCGTGAGCACATGCTCGCGTTCTTCAGCGTGACTGTGGTTGTTACATTGTGGGCCGAAGCCCTACTGAACCGCTAATAATGAACCAAAACGTACGAGCTGAGGTAAAAGCGACATGAATACACACACACACACACACACACACACACACACACACACAAAACACACACACACACACACACACACACACACACACACACACACACACACACGCGCGCGCACATCAGTCCTCGTACAAGAGAAACGCCTCAATGGCGGGCGGCGTGTTCATGGCGCGAACAAACGTCACATACGCATCGTGACTCGTCTCAAACGTTCCCCGACACGCAGTTAGCACACGCTCACGTGCCACGCGTCTCCGCTCAGCCATACCATCACCCCTCTCACCACGACTGCTTCCACCGTCACGAGCATACCCTCTTCTACCATTACTACCCCTGCTTCGAGTGCCATCATCATCATCATCATCATCATCATCATCATCATCATCATCATCATCATCATCATCATCATCATCATCATCATCATCGTACTCCTCCTCTTCTTCATCATCCTCCTCTGACATGAGGGGAACGGGCACGTCGCTCTCCCGCCCGCCCGCTTGAAATGAATACACGCGCACGCGTTCGTCCTCGTCCATCGGCGACGGAACAATCGTCACGTGTGGGGAAATGGTCACCGCCCGCGGTGCTGGTGTTGCTGGTGTTGGTGCCGTTGTTGCAGTTGTTTCTGGTGTTGGTGCCGTTGTTGCTGGTGTTGGTGCCGTTGTTGCTGGTGCTGGTGCTGTTGTGGGAGTGTCGATTGATGCAGATGCAGTTGCAGTCGGCCGCTGTGTTTGATGTCGTCCTTCCCGCATCTCTCCGCTCGTACCATCATCACCATCACCACTGCCATCGCTGACAATGCGCTCCGTGAGCATCTGATCAAACAGGTGTCGCAGCCGTCGTCGACACATGTGCGAGAGGGATGGAAGCGCCACCCCGTGCATGGACATCACCTCCGCAATCTCAACCGCGTGTGTGCGCGCTGCTTCGCTCTGCGCGCGGGCGAGCGCGTGCCGCACACATTGCATAATGTCGGTGTCGTTGCGCAATGCAGACGACATGCGGACGAGCTGTCGCAATGCCTTGAGGGCATAGCGTTCGTCGCACACGGGCTCGGCCTGCCGTCCTGTGCGTGGCACACGCAATGCCTCCACCAGTCGCACGTGCGTGCGTTTCGCAATGAGTTTGGGCACGAACGAGGGCACGCAGGCGAGTGCGGCGAGGGCCTGGCAGGGGTGCCATGGCGACCACAGCACGTTGCCGTGCGCTTCGTTCCGGATTGAGCAGTCGAGGCAGTCCAACAGCAGCTGTATGTGGTGGTCCGTCACAAGAAACGCGGGCCTGTCCGCCACGGTGTTGCCATGACCCTCCATACCACCATCAACACCATCATCATCAACATCACCATCACCATCATCATCATCACCATCGCGGTCGTTGTCAACAGCAGAGTCATGTCGTTCATCCATGGCATCTTCACCACCACCACCATCACCACTGTTGCGAGGTGCCCCCCTGGGTAAGAGCCTGCCGTACCATGGCTGATCACCACCACTGCTGCGCCCCCCGCGGCCGCTGGGCGTTGCCGCTGTCCTGCGCTCACTAAACTTGACCGAGGGGTTGTACGTGCTCGGGAATCCCATCTCCGTTGGCGTGGCGAGGTACCTGTGGTGGCTCGGTGGCACGTGTACGTACATGTTGAGCAGCCCCATGAGTGCGCCGACAGACCCGCGGTCAATCTTGTCGTGGTGCACGACAGTGACGAGGATGGGTACCGTGCCGCACGTCGCCACCCGTCGCAGCGCGTGCGTGTCGTCGTGCAGATACGAGCTGAGGTTGGCCAGCGTGAGCACCATCTCCACACGGTGGCGTGAGCGCTCCAGCGTCTGTGTCAGCATGTCGAGGTGGTCAAGAAGGAAGTGCGTGCCAACCTCACACCCACCAACCCAGTTGAGGGTCAGAAACGCCATGTGTCTCTCGTACAGCACGCCGTCCGATGCAGTCAAGAAGATTGCGCGGCGGGCGTTGCCACCATCGCCGTCGTCGTCGTCGTCATCATCATCATCATCGCCATCGTCTGTGTCGGTGCTGGTGTATGTGTCTGGGTCGTCTGTGGCAGCCCCTTCCTCGCCATCCCAGTCGCGATAACGATAACGATGATGCTGATGACGACGATGATGATCGCGGTGATGGCGACGCTGACTGAGTCGCATTTCGCGCCCTGCCGCGTCGGAATCAGACGAGGAGCCGTCGCCCTCCTCTGCCGCTTGCCGGCGTTCACCACCACTGCCATCATGATCATCATGATCATCATCACTGTCAACACGGTCACTGGCATCACGCGCAACACCGCTGCTGGTGTCCGTGTCCATGGGTTGAGCGGTGGCCGCAAACTGGGATGCAAACTCTCGCTGACGGCGCCGTTGTTGCCGCCGCCGCTGCTGCTGCTCCTCGAGCCGACTGCGGGGCGGGTTGATGATGTCCAATATCGCCTGCAAGAGTGGACTCTGCAGAAACTGGCGGGAGATGGCGTCGCGGGAGCGCGGGCAGTGCAGCATGTTACAGATGAGCACGAAGTAGGTGCCCCGCAGGCGGCTGTACTCCTCACCCTGCACCAGGCCTGGCCGCACGCGGTCCAGCTCGCTGACGATGAGCGAGATGACGTCGATGTGTGCGCAGACGGCTCCACCAATGGGCCTGTCCAGCAGCAGGAAGAGGATATTCTGGTGCAAGGGATTACTCACGGACGGCCAGCGCAAGTAGGAGGTGATCACCCGTGACATCTCACGCACGACGTCCGCTGGTGCTTCTTCAACAGAGACCCACGGACAGCTCGGCGCAACCATGTTGAGCATGGCAAACACGGCATGGGACATGGTCGGCTCATTGCTCCCCATCATCTGCAGCAACTCCACCAGCACCGCAGCTGGATTGTTGCGCCGCGCGTCACCCTGCAGCAGCTCAGCATCGCGTTCAGCGGCATCGTCCATGTTGTTGTTGTTGTTGGTGCTGTTGTTGCTTGTTGCTGTTTGTAGTTGCTGTTTGTTGTTGTTGTTGTGTGCTTGTGCAGGTAAGTGTGTGTATGTGAGCTGTGTGTGTGTGAGCTGTGTGTGTGTATGTGTGTGTGTATGTGTGTATGTGTGTATGTGTGTATGTGTGTGTGTGTGTGTGTGTGTATGTGTGTGTATGTGTGTGTATGTGTGTAAAGAGCGTGGAAGCGAGTGGTGCGGTGCGCGCAGCAGTCAGTGAGTCGTTCGTTCTTTGTTGCTGGTTGGTTGTGGTTGTGGAGGAATAGATGGTATCATTCGATGATTTTCGGCAACAGAACAAGACACGACAGTTGCATTGCTGCGGTTGTGGGTTGTGGGTGGTGGGTGGAAGACAGCGCTTTGTTTGTGTGCTCACTTCTCAGTTCATTACTTCTCAGTGCCTCATTTGCCGCTTGCTGTGGCTTGTGGTGGTGTCCCGTAGGTCGGAGCGTCGGTTGGTTGGTGATACGACATTTGGTTCGTTTCCTTTGGGTTGTGTTTGGGGTTGTGTTGTTGCACGAAGTTTGGTGGTTGGTGGTGGTGGTGGTGTTGATTTGAGGCTCCTGAGGCGCAAAGAAAAGATGGACGGAGGGCGCGATGATGGTAGCCATGGCAGCAATGGCAGCAGCAATGGCAGCAGCAGTGGGGGTGATTCACGCACGGAAACGCCGCCACCGCCTGCGCGCGCATTGGTGGACTTTTTCGCGGTCGTGGGCATCGACCCAAGCGCGGGCATCGACCCTTTCACGCACGCCGCCATGCCAGACCGTGAGTCGGTGTTTGCTGTTGGTGCGGTCGGTGATAGAGGTGGTAGTGGTGGTGGTGGGACTGTTGTTGTTGTTGTTGGTGGTGGTTGGGCATTTGACAGTGTTGTCGGCATCGTTGCAAGGGACACGAGCACATTGTTCATTCATGTGATGCCGCCATGCGTGCGCTCACTAACTCACTCACACGCACACGGACGCGCACATGCACATACAGTGGACCATGTGAGCCCGCTGCGCCGTCCATACAGAGCGCATCTACTCACCTGCGTTCCAGATGCACGCGGGTCGCTCAAGCACTTTGATCCACAGGATATCGTCCTGGTGCGTGATTGTGTACGTGTGTGTGCGCGTGTGTGTATGTGAGTGCTTGTGTGTGTGTGTATCTGTCTCGCAGCTGCGTTTGTGGGACTTGGAGGTGAATGCTGTCGTGTGGCTGCAAGTACGTCACATGTTCACGTTCTCCTTCCCTCGTCTCCACCACCACCACCTCCACCTCCTCCCTGTTTGCAGCTTTGTTTCCCGCAAGGGCTGCGGTTTCAGAAGCAAGAGGACAGCCGTCGCATTACCTTCCACACCTTTGTCATGACGCGCGAAAACGGAGACAGAAGTCAGTTTGCATGCGCGCGTGTGTGTATGTGTGTGTATGTGTATGTGTGTGTTGTGCGTGTGTGTGGGTGTGTGTTGGTTGTATTTGATGCTGCCTTGTCTGAGCCTGGCC